ACAAATTTGTAGGAATGGAAACGTACCTTAATTAAAGCTGGTTGATGAATTATGACAAGTTTATAAATCTAAATAAGTGAGGAAATACTTTAGGTTTAGCCAAATTCGTAGAGGGGAGCAAATAGAGAATAAGTATAACATGAGAGCGAGGGAAATGTAAAAAAAATCTTGATATATCTTTGAAATATTGCATCTGAAGAACAAGACAGGCTTTGAGTGTCTTCCGTTGACCACGTCATTGCAATCCACTGTCAGGGGACCGTAGTGTACCCCATCCATCACGGGACCGTAGCCTTGAAAACATCACGTCGTGTTTGGAAAGTATTGCCTCTTAAATTTATCTCCCTCTAGTATTCTAGTTTAATTTAATGACAAAGGCAAATCCGAGGTCAAAAAATTAGTATAAGTCAGAAAGATATTTTGACCCTTCAGAAAAGATTAAATGTTCAGATATAATTTTTCAACATACTTCGCCACTATATTATTTGCTAACTGATTCAGAAAACGTTCATTTCGCGAATTGTTTACCTTTATAAATTGGAACAGAAAACGATTTCCTTCTTGATATTGTATACAACTGTTACAATGTGTAACGATGGCAAACACACCAGAGGCAACTCCAGGTCATGATTTTTTGGGGGGGGGGGGCAAGCTGGATTGTAAGGGTTAACTTTCGGGGTTTTCTCGTGGGTATGGAGTAAAAAAGGAAGGGTCCGAGAACTCACCACCGGGAAATTTGGGAAAATTTGAACTGAACTCGTGTTTTTTAGACAATCTAGAGACAATTCAATAACCCCTTTTCTCCCCCTTGGACCCGCCACTGAAACACACTTAAACATGTATTAAAGACATATTTCGGCCCCGGGTATATTTTCTTCAGCTAAAAGAGTGGACGTATTTAAAAGGCAGAAAAATGATGCTGTTCAACACCAGCTGACTCTTTTTCACACTTAAAACAAGTACTTAGACCTTACGTATTGAAAACAACCGTTTCGCAGCAGTGACGAAAATATTTATCCGGGCCAGTGTGGACCAAGACGGCTCTCGATATCAGAGCTCACGTCTAGTGTAGAGACCTTCGAGTCCACTCCATCACAGATACACTCGTGATACCTGAGTGACGCCTTTTGTAACATAGCCGCCGAGCCGACTACTCTACCGTTATTGCACAAGTACTACTGTACTGTCTGTGTTTATGTGGCACAGCCAAACGTGTATTTAGATTACTATACAACAAACGGGTATCAGCTATCTGACACGTAGTAGAACCTTGTATCCTGATTGGGATGATCAAATATATGACTTGTTATCAAGGTTGACTCCTTATAGAGGTTTACAACATTTAAAGACAATATAAAATCAAGGCTATTTGAAAATTACACTTGTTATCAAGTGTCTCTCGTTATTGAGGGTATTCTTATCGAGGTTCCACTACTACCGTTAGCTGATCAACAACTCTTTCCAAGTAAAAACAATGCAATGTTAACATTTCACCAAAGGACTTTTACCTGGCCATGCAATTTATTCGCACTTTTATACTGTTCTTACTTTATCGTAGCAATCTTGAGGTAGTAAAATAATCAATGTGTAGTGAGACATAAACTCACTCAAGCACAACTGTACGTGAAAATTCCTTTAAATTGTTTCAGCTGTCGCCTGTCGATAAAGATTAAATTTAAAAAAAAAAAACAGAATGTTAGTAATGATTGAAATCAATAAACCAGTTTAAAATAATTGCCATAACATAGTCAACCTTACAGTATAGGATTTACGCAGCTTTAAAACCTTATAGTCTATCACTTTATTAACATATCGCCTATTTCTACGATGTTTAGAGCTTGTGGTGCTATGGGAGGTTTCATATTGTCATGTTTTTTTTTTTTTTTTAAGTGTTTCAGACCTATGCTAGGATCCAGACGCAGAAAACGGAATACACATACGAAAAATCAACTCAACTGTCTAAGTTAGACTGTCATCACTCAATTCAGTACGATGGATAATGTTTTTTCACGAATCCACAACTTCGTCTACCAAACTACACTTCTATCACCCGTGCACACACACAACTCTCCAACACCTATTAGTAGGGGG